GACACATAAAACTAACCATCATTTTTGCGAACCCCAGAGGAATTGCAGTCTCAAACGAAGATTATGATATCAAAGAAGTGCTCACAACTGCGGTTTCCTGCACCGTGGAACAATGCTTCCTCCACAAAAGATACACACACTCACACACAAACCTGACCTACACGTTCAGTTTTGAACCCGGCGGGTTGTTTTGTATGTTTATTTTTATTCATGCGGGGTGCACGCTAGTTGACCTTTAACCCTTATGAAAGCGGCCCCTTGTTTTGCTTGGGTTTCGGAAGTTGATGTCTTATTGGACAGCCTTTTGGACATGCTCCAGTTGACGACAGGTTGCACTGGCGGTTACAGTGCCCCCCCGGAGGAGGCCGGGTTCAGCGAGTTGTAGGTTGCATGATACATCCACAGCCTCACCTGTCTCTCCCCACCTGATAGACCGTGTTGGGGCCCGGCCGGTGCAGGTCTCCACCTTCGGTGGCCAAGTGTTGGACGTGGAGACCGGGGAGAACGAGACGCTGGGCCCCGAGTTCACCGAGGAGGATGGAGAACGTGTCGTGGAATGGATGAAGACGATGGTGACTCCCTGGTGGTGTCGTGAGACCGAACACATGGCGCGTGGTGGAGTGAAGGGCGGACGTGAAAGAAGGACTCCAGACACTTAATGTAAACTCTTGAGGAACAAGACCCCCCACCTGAGGACTAAACACTTCGGTTTCGCGCGGGTTCGAACTCTGCGCAACGAGGCGACCGCGCGGTTCGGCTCGGGGGTCCATGACGGTTGCTTCCGGCGTGGGTCGTACGCACGCGGATCGCACGCTCGTGCGACTCGAACCACATCTGTAGGCCCCTCTGGATCCATTCCCATATTCCCTACGAGTCGCACCAGTCAGCACGGCACAGCATCGTTTCCGGCTCATGTGAGCAGGAACTGCTGAAGCGGTTCCCCAAGTTGCAGGCGGGACCAGACGCGGCACGGGGGATCGGATCATGGCTAGGGACCAGTTATCTTGTAGTGATTTGGCGTGTTCTGTGTTCTCATCATTTCTCATCCAGGTGAGAAGAGAGCTGGGGTCTTTGTGGATGTCAGATGTAGGACTCAATGAGGTAGGCGTTCTCATGATCAGATGTGGGGTATGTGGGTCTATAGCATCTTCTGTCCCAAAGTATGTCATGTATGGAATATTATTTGCCTAAATCATCGTACATGGTTGAAACCACTCCAATGTAGGTCAAATATTCCATGAAGTGTTTGGGTCCAAAGCATGGTTTGCAAGGATTGTACCCTACAAATCTTCCAGGCTCCTCCAGATAGAGCTCCGATCTGCCGATCTGCCGCTCCGATCTGTTCTTCTTCGTCTCGCGAGACATCCCATCCCAAGCCGTCCGAGAGTGGTCATCACGTTTGGAGAGCTGTCCGAGTGTTCATCGGCCATCGAACAGCTGGGGTGCTTGTCTGCAGCCCAGACAATGAAAATGGGATCTAAAAAAAATTCACCTACATTGACCCCTGCGCTTAGAACCACCCCAATACTAGGACACCCGAACTAGGGGCTTCTATTGATAGCCCCTGTTCGATGTTAAGTAGGGGTGTCCATGTCTACCACCCAACTCCAGTGGGTGCTGGTATAGGTATAAATATTTAAGGGAGAACCCCGGAACCCCCCAACTCTTCCATGGCTCCATGACATACCATGACATACCATGCTGATACCATGCTGGGATATAGGGAGAGTTTCTCACCATGGGTTGAGTGGTCATGGCTTCACGACCCAACGGACGGACGAAACGGCGAAACGGCGAAACGGCGTTGCTTCCGGATCTGGAGACGCCGGAGCGAGGTCGATCGTCGGGACGGACGGGAGGTCGATGTAGATATGAAGCTCCTGAGGTCATGTGGGATGAGATGAAGATATCTCCAGGTCCTAAGCATCTGATAGATCATCTAGCAAGCATCCTACAATAGAACCTTCCGAGATCTTCAGGGTGAACAAACAAGGCGAATCCTCTCCTCCCGGCGCGCAGACCGCGCGCGGGGGTTCCGCTGGGTTTCCGCCGGAACGCGCGATCAGGCCGAAGCGGAGAGCACGGTGGGCAGCTGGGCGAGAGCAGTTGCGGCGTGAATCGGGGGATGGGCAGCTCTAACGATTGGGTTGTATGTGGGTTGGTGGGTGGTGTGTGTGTGTGGGTAAGGATTCACAAACGGGCCAGCTAGGTTTGCAGAGTTTACTATATCGAATACTCGGCTGAGCTCATCAAGCTTATGAGACAGATTTAAGGGTATAGACCTTGCTATGCGAATTGATTTGGATCTTCTAGATCTTGGGTTGGTCTTGCGATCTATGATGATGTACCTGGAGCTTCCAAGGGGTGTCCTGTCTATCCATCAAGGGGGGCTACCCAGGTGACGAACTTTTGCTTGGAAGGTGCTGGTATGTTAGTCTATGATCATCTTCCTACCTGGAGCTTCATGTCAGGGTGTCCTGCTTGGAGATCCCGGATGGTGGGCTGGGGCTTCCCAGGTGACCCCGACATGAAGGTGCTGGTAGCCACGTCAGATCGAGTACCTGGCCTCCCAGGTCGATCAGATGCCGTGGAAAAGACCTTCGACGGCAACGTGGCCGCCGAGCTGGTGCTGCAAGCCATTGCCGTGCAGGAGGAGATGAGTTCCTGCACTGGAGTGGAGGGAATGGCTTGGCTACTTCACTTCACTTCATGAAGTACTGTACTCTTAAGGTCCACTGCATGAAAGAATCCGGAAGTGGAGTGAGTGAGTTCACCACGTAAGAACTGGTGGGATTTTCATGCGAACTCCGAAGCGAAAGAGTCGCACCATGCGTAGGGCTGACCTCGTGGTGCGAACGAATGAGGAGAACACCGAAGCGACGATGGGCCGATGGGCCGTCAGACAGGCGTTTTTCATGGTAACCAGGTGATTGATGGGTCTTTGGAGCATCATCCTTGTGGCTGGGAGCAGTTTGCGTCTGGAAGGGACCGGCAGAGGTCAGGTCGAAGGTCAGGTCGTTGCCGTCAAGTCTTGCATCGCTCGACAGGAGCGTGTGGCCGTGTACAAGGACTATGACGCGGCCTTCAAGTTCCTGATGGAGGTGGATCGGGAGGGGTGTTACGTCCTGGCGGATAGAGGGTGGCTGGGGATGAGTTTGTGCAACCGACTGGAGGTCTCAACGTTTGGGGACGATGTGTTTTCCAGAAGCCGAGCCTTTGTTAACTTTCTCAGTGACAGGTTTGAGCTGGGAAGTTGAAGATGTGCAGATCGTGACAAACTGGGAGAGACCAGAAACTCAGGGGCTTTAAAACTGCAATCCTTGCGTTTCAAAACCAACAAAATTCTTCAAGGATAAGACACTTTCCATCAACTTGGTGTCAACTTGGTGTCAGAATTGGTCAAAAGCGTGTGAAATGGCCCATTTCATTCCCCACTGCAAACTTGCTTGACCCCGCCCAAAACACCCTCCAATTCACCAGACCCACCACACCACTCCATCTGCCTCGTCCGTCCTGTCGCGGCTCGGTGGGAGGCCTCCCAGGGGCGCGCCACGCGTGCGATCGCCTGGCTCTACCCCTTTGTGGTGAAGAAGGCCACAGGGCGCTTCCAGGCACCTGCTGTGGGTGGGAGATGGAGAGGTGGCCAATGGCAAGTGGATTGGATGGCAAACAATGAGGTCCTAGGGGTCCCTGTCTTGGTAGTTGCCGGTATGTTTGATGAGGTTTGATGATTCAAAAGTTCAGCATAGTTCAGCTGATGGAAGAACCGGCCGCAGGATGTACACCAGTCAGGCCTCTATTCTTTCTAACAAAGTTCGCTACACATTCAACCTACAGACATGGCGCCCTGTTGATTCATTTATAAGAATATTATATTATATAATTCATGGGCTTTCATTGCATGGTATATACTGGTATTTGAACATGTCCTAAAAGCCCCCCAAACAGGCACCAGACACTTCGACGCCAAAACCGCCAAAACCGCCACGCTGTTGCCGCCCAAAGCGAGGGCCTCTCCCAAAGCGTTCGCTCCTTGGCATCGGAGCTCGAGACCAGGCGGGGGACCGGTGAAGGAACAATCAATGGCGGTGAAGCCCTTTTTCTTCGGAAAGTCTGAAGAGAACCGCCCCAAGGTGAACACTGTCTACATGTGAACGAACTGAGGAATTTTCATGGAATGTGTGGAAATGACGTCCCTCAATCAGGTTCCGGGGCCCACCAGGCTAACCAACCAGATCAAGGCCCCCGTTCGACTCTTTTCTTGGTGTCACCTTAGTTCGTGCCGACGGTTCGGCGCGCGGCGTCGTCCGACGGTTCCGCCGGCGGTGCAGGTCAGAGACCGCTCGGAAGCCTTTGGCTTCCCAGGTACGACTCGATCGATGCGCCGTTCCGCTGTTCCCCGCGGGAGGGAGACGTGGGGAGCACGGAGTGAGTGGACGTGTTTCCTCCGGATGGCGGGCCAGGCAGCTGTGGAAGGCCATGAGTGATGAAGCATCCGTTCCTAGAGATTTCTGACAGGTTCATACCTGGACTTGGACCATGCAATGGCAATGGGTGTTCAATGGAGAAAGTAGTGGAGGGTTGCCAGGTGACCCTTCATCCAGGATGGTCCGAGTCCTAGCAGTGTCTGCCTTTGGCACTAACTGTCGGACTTTATTCAGAAGAACCGAACCCTTCACTTTTCTTGGGATTGCCAAAAATAAGGGCTTCCTATGGCTTCCTTATGTTTCCTTTGGAAGAGCTCTGGATTTGGCAAGGACAACTGGATGCCTGCTCCTTATTCCCTTGGTTGACATTGAAAAGGGACAAATCCACTTGGCTTTTGCCCATGGTGGTGGTATGTCAACAGCACACAGGGTGGAAGTCGAGGTATCTCCCAACTTCTTGGGCTGGTGTGGCTCGGCTTTGTGAACAGAATTCACCGGGCCTTTGTATGGTTTTCTGTGGCAAAGTTGCCAACCCCCTCCCTCAGCTGGCTCGACACGAAGTTATAGGTGCGCATGTTCTGCGGTTCGTGTTTGGTTCAAGCTCTTCCCCACACATGTGCGCGTGCAGACATGAGCGCCTTCCGGGAACTTCCGCTGGATGTCCTTCATCCGGTGCTGCTCTGTCTAAAGGGTGATTTAAAGTCCCTGGCCAGATGCGCCCACAGTGGCCAACTGCTGAACCGCCATTGTCGCCCTTTGCTTCAAAGGACTTGGCATTGCAGAGCCTGCCAAGCCGAGCTCTTCCAGAGGGGAAACGACACCTACCGAGTTGGAACGGCCTATTTTCAAGATGGTCCTGCTATTGTCGCCCACACAGGTCTGGAGGCCCTACAGATCATTGGCACCAGAGACTGTGTCGAGACCAATGCGCCACTGTTCTCGCGGGTGTTGAGGGGTCGATCCCGGGCGTTGTGGCATGGCGGAGGGACCCAGAAACTCCAGGAGTCTTTGGTCGTTTGATCTTTTCCGAAACATGTAGCGTTCTTGTTCCTAGTAGCGATGCCAGGAGCCCCTAGTAGCTTCCTTGCTCCGTTCGGTGGCGATGCCCAAAAACCGCTCCGTTCGGGTCCGTCCTCGACCCTCCAGGAGTCATTGGTCGTTTGTAAAGACTGTGAGCGCTTTTTGGGGTCGAGGTTCCAGGTGGCTGGTGGTGGAGAGGAGCGAAGCGAAGTCGACTTCTGGTTGCTCTGTGAGCCTTATTTGGTGGAGATGGAGCTGAAAGGCGAAGAAAGATCAGTTGTAAAGACAGAGACCAGTGAAACCATCCTTCATTGCAGTGGCATTCGGAGTAGCATTCCTGCACCGCGCGGTGAGCACCGTGCGTCCGCGTGTGGGCAGCCACTCTTCAGACTTGACTCAGTGCTATCAAGGCACCATATGTGGAGGATTCCTGGATACGTCCTGGAAAGCGCTTGGTACATCAACGATTTTATTCCGGACGCCATCTATGTTCGATCTGCTTCGCCGCATCAACTTGCACAGGGCTTGATGGAGACGGCTGATGTGCTCTGTGCCAGATGCCACGGCGTGGTTGGGTGGAAGTTTGCCAGTGATTTGTGCGCAAAGAAGCACAACATACATCATGTTCATCGCTTTGGCATCTGCCGCTCCTCCATCCTCGAAGAGAAGGATGTGACGGACGACCTGGAGTCAGACCACCTCAGTGCATCGGAGGAGTCCTTTACGTTTGCTTCCTTCTCTCCGAGCCTTTCGGAAGCACCGAGCTCCGGGGCGAACTCCGGCGAACTGCCCGGCAGTCCAGTCCATTCCGGCGAGCTCTGAGAAGGAGTTCAGCGCTGCGGGTCGTGGCCGGCGTCAGGCAAAAGGTTTCATGCCAGGTGTTGCTGACGGCCATGGCACTTTCGGATTGATCGTTGATTCCCTAGGGGTTGGTTCAAGGAATGATCAAATTTATGGCCTTTTTCCGACAAAAGACACTCAAGTTCATTCCTGCTTCCTTCGTCACTGGTCCTTTTCGGGCAACCAAGCACGGGAGTCGAACTCACCGACCACATGGCGGCCACGCTAGGTCGACGAGGCGGCGGAATCTCTCCGCGCCCTTCAACGGATGGAGGCACCGAAAGGATGTGAAAAGAGCCGAACCGAACCGCTTGGTGTCTCCTTCAAAAAACAATACCTAAAAGATCCTCGTGGACATAAACTTACGAAATCATGACCCTGGGTGTCCAGAGTTCCATTGATTTTGTAATTTCCATTGATTTTGTCCTGATTATGTACAGACCATTAGATCCATTAGCCTCCTCCTGGTTGGGGGTCTTGATTTTATCATTAGGAAATTGAGCCCCCCTACGTTCAAGACTTATTCCCAGCAAGATCCTAAAAACTTGACTTAGACATGTAGTATATATACTATATACAAGCCATCTCACTGTTAGTTGATGTTTTCATTTCTATTTGGAGTTTTCATTCCTGTTTGTGGAGTGAGGGATTGGATGGTGATAGGATTAGGATGGTCAGAAAGGGGATGGGGGGATGTAGTTTTTTCTTAGTAAAATAGGACTTCTTGCAAAAGAGGAATGCGCCGAAAGGTGCTAAATGCAGGTCATCATCATTAAGATTTAGAGTAGCCTAACTTAATAAACATAGAGCCTCTTGAAAAAGAGGAATGCGCTGCAAAGTGCACACTAGAGTCACTAGAGTCTAGTTTCCAGCTTTGGCACACTGAACATTAGGATTTGGTTATTATCCACCCTAGCCTGGCACAAAGATATGGGTTGATGGTGGCCCCTGAGGATTTCCTATAGTTCCAGCCTGGCATAACCTGGCATGAAGCATGGGTTGATGGCCCCCACAGCCCCAATAAGCTGAAGCACAATTCACATTGATTATTTTTTTGGACCAATTGCAGAGTGTTGCCCACAATGATCCATCCTGGCATGACCCCTTGACAAGGCAAAGTTTGCCCATCTGGGTCGAGTAATTCCAGGAGTGAGTCACTTTGCTTACTTTTCTTTTGTTCACCAGCTTCTGGAATTCCAGAAACTGGGCGAACGCTTGGAACTCCAGCGTTGACTTGATGGCCCCTAGCTGACACTTGCCCTCCATCACTACTATACATCGTAGCAATGGAAAATGTCTCCAGCAGCTTGTCAATCAGATGGCTTTCCAGCCTGGCATGCATCATTTTTCATGGAAGAACTGCAGGCATAAGTTACAATAACTACAGCTGCTACCAATCAAACAACAAACACACTTACACATCAGGGCCAGCCTTGGCACCTCAGAAATCAAGACTCCAAGCAACCCAGCTGCTTCTACAACATTTGGGCACTATTGCAATGTGTGAGAACTGCAACTGCTTTCATGCTGACACAATCAGCAGCCCTTTTTTACACAGGATGCCGAAGCAAGTTGCAGGATTCACCTGACACAGCGCCAACAACACAAATAAACAAACATCTCACTGTCAACAACACAAGTGAACAGAAAAAACAAAAATCACCATGCCTTCCCTTGCTGGATGAAGGTCGCACATCTCCATCATCTTCAGCACTGCGCTTCCTGACAGCAAAGTCCCAGCTAAATCCCAGAAAAACAACAACAAGAACAGCAACAGTAATGCAGCCACCCAACACAACATGCCTCTTCTTCTTTTTCTGTTTCTCAGACTTCTCAGATGCCACTGGAGGTTGCTTCCTGGCAGTTACTGTACTGGCTTTGGCTACAGGAGGTTGGGTTTGACTACATCAAAAAGCAACTTGGCCCCAGGACCTGGAAGAGGATGCACCACCCTCGCTTGCAAAGAACGCATCCATCCAGATTTCAGATTCCTGACAAACAGTGCATACAAATCAGAAATTGAAACAAACTGGAGTTGCTCACCCTGCCTGCGTTTGCTTGCGAAGTTCTTCCTTTAGCTTCTCCTTGGCCTTTGACTCAGTGTCTACCTGGCCCACCTTGATCGCAAGCTCCTTGGCAGTTTCCCTATACTGCCACTGAACCCTCTGTGAAAATTTCTGCAGATCTTCTGCACTTTGCTTCATCTCTATCATCTTCCAGTAGGAATCCTTTGCTCGTTCTTTTGCCTTTTTCTCTGCATCTCTTGCCCAGTTCAATTGCTCATTGAACCGCCACTCAGCCTTCTGCAGAGCTTGATTTGCATCTTCTGCCACTTGCTCAGACTCTCTCATCTTCCAGTAGGAAGCCTTTGCCTGCTCCTTGGCCCACATCTCTTGATCCTTGGCCCACTGCGCTGCAGCTTTTGCAGCTTCCAACTCCTCACTGTTCTGTGAGACATTTTGACTGGCCAGTGAAAACTGCCTCTTCTCTTCTTCTAACTTCTCTCGTTCTTCTTTGATCTTTTGCAAAGAGGCTCGTCTGGCCTTGCGATTGTCGTTAGATGGACCAGGCTTCGGCATCTTCACACCCAACAACAAATTTACTGTTGCTGTTCTTGTAGCAATCTGATTGAAACACTTCAGCCCCCTGAGTTGAGCCAACACCAACCTCACAATGCACAAACAGCAAGTATACAATGACTACTCACTGAACCTCTGTACACACAATGAACAATGTAATTTTTGGGAACATGGCAAACTCTTTTTCTCAACTGAACTCAGCCAGCTAGATCCAGCAGTGGTTGCTCTTCTGCATCTTCTGCCTTGCCACAAGTTTTCATCCAAGTCCCAACCAAGTCATTAAACAAGTGCTCACATCAAGCAATCAGCATGAAACGATGCACTTTGTGACAGCAAGTTTCAGCCAAAAGTTGAGATACACACCATGCAATCAAATGCCAAGGAACATCCGGATCATCATCCATGGGCAATGCCTCGCCCCCATCATGCCACACATGGATTGGCCTGGGTTCTCGGTCCTCCACAGAGTGCCCTTGCCCAACTGGCAAAGGAGTTTGCTCATCAAACCTCAGTGGAATAGAACACTGTTTGAGTGAGTCTGCACATGGGCTCAGGCAAATTGAGTACAATATAACATTAGCAACATGGGCCAGGCCTGTTCTCCAAGAAGTTGTAGTAAGACGGCCTGGGCGCACGTCGCAATGTACTTGTTGCCCACCCAACCAAGAAGTCACGCCCAGCTTCCTCAATCAAAGCAAAGTCACACAGCCAAGTGGTCCAAGGACCATAAGGACACAGAAGGAAAACTATGATCTCAGCAATTGTTGCAACCTGCGCAAAAACCATTCAACATAAGATCAGCTGCAGACAGCTGCCCTGCATCGTAGACTTCCTTTGCCCGAGCAAGTATGTCCTTCTGGTCCTTTGGAGAGATGTCCTTTCGAGGGAAGTCCCCTGAAGGCTGCACTGTCAATCGCGCCCGGAGAAAAGGAACAAAGTCACCTGCAAGGGCAGCACTGAGAATGGAACACTGTGATTGTCATTACCTATTTATTGTAAACTTCCAGATTGGTTCAGCCAACCCCTGCCTGGAACCAGCAGAGCAACCTGGTGAAATGCACGGCTGCTCATTCGCTGCCTGACCACACAGACTATATCCCTGGGGTGGGATGGCGGTGCCCCAGGCCAAGCACTGACACGACAGTCACCCAGGTCTCCCACATCCTTCAAGTACATCACCTCAAACCTCAGAGCAGTGGAAAAGGATTCAATACAATATCAAAAATGTCCAAAGCAGCTAAATGTGTCAAAATTATGTAACCGCCAAAGCAGTGGAAAATCAAATGCCCAACCCAACTGTCAAATCAATGTGAAGTAGCTGCAGAGCAGAAACAAGTGTGGTGCCAATGGCCCTGTCAAGTTCGAGAATCTCAGGCCCAGCTCAGACCACCAGTTCTCCCAATGGGCATAGACATCACCTAATGTGAAGCCAATCACACAAGATCAAGAAATAGATGTTGTGGAAATAACACAAAACAACATGGCAACATGCTGAAAATGTCCAATTCATCAAAGCTGCATTTGTACCCCATCAGAGACCTGGATGTGCCCTCATCCACAGTGGATCCCTTCAGGAAACTGTCCTTGGAACACATGGACAACACAAAGCATAAGGACTACATTGTCTTGAAGTGTACAGCACATGAAAACAATTGATCCTACCACTTTAACTTGTCTTCAAAACAGTCAAATGATCCTACCAAGGTTCGTAAATCTGAGACAACTGGTCTGCAGTGTCAAATTCAGAGTGGCTGCATTTCACCACTGCTTGGCCCCCACAGGCATCGAGTGGCCCATGGGTGTGGCCTTTGATCGGATAGGCCAGCGCAGCATGATCCACACACCCAAGCACCTTCAGTTTCACAATTGCTGACAAAATTTTGCCGTTCTTGCATTCTCGCTGGCAGTTGTCCTGCAGGATGACCAGGTGATGCGGGAGCCTGTTTCCGCACTGGTCATAGACAATGTCAAGCATCCGAGCAATGGTCTCCTCACAAAAGCAAGACACAGACCAACACTGTAGGCACAGCATTGGAAATCCATAAACTGGTGGAGAAGTGGGGCTATTTCTGGACTTTTGGACAAACCTAGTAGTGGAAAAGAACATGCTTCTTTTTCACACCCAGATACAAAATTGTTGTTGCTGTTCTTGTAGCAGTCTGCATCACTGACTGCGAAGTGTAGCCCATGGCCTCATCCAGCTGTGAACCCCATCCTCCATATAGAAGGTATTCCAATCACTAAGTTGAACCCGAAACAAAGCTTTGCTGTCCAGGTACAAAGAGGTTGACCCCTTTTTGAAGACAAACTGCTTACTGTCAATGACTTTGATGAGTCATTCACATTCAGGCTGGGAACCAATGAGTCAGATCACCAGAATTGAAAGTTAGATATCTTTAGAAC